CCACGTCTGGTCACAGCTGCTTGTGTCTACTGCTCACGTTCATGTTTTGCATGTACCTGTTTGGTTTCATGTTCTAGTTATGAAAGTCATTTAGCTGCTCCCAGTTGAGTTTCTAGTTTAGTTTGTCCCAGTATGTTTTGCCTTGTTTTCTGTTTTTGACACCATCCCAAAATAAACAGCTTTTTGTTAAAGATTCAGTTCCCTCGTCTGCTTTTGGGTCTGCTCCACAAACACACCTACAGTGGAGGCAGAGCAGGTCACCTACTGATCAGAAGGTTGGTGGTTCGATCCCTGGCTCCTCCAGTCTGCATGTCAAGTATCCTTGGGCAAGATACTGACCCCAATTTGCTCTCCGATGCATCCATGTAGTCAGAAAGCACTAAGTATAGAGAAAGTGCTTGTGAGAATGGGTGTGATTGGGTGAATGTGGCGTGTTGTATAAAGCGCTTTGAGTACTCCGGGAGAGTAGAAAAGCGCTATATAAGAATCAGTCCATTTACACCGGCCATGCGTGACAGATCCATTCATTAGTTACTGAGACACTCATCTAAAAATATCTCAATAAAAATGGGGTCGAGAAAATTGAGTTGTTTGCTGAAGAAAAGGTAAACTGATGACTGGAATATTTAGATTTTATTCTCAGGCAAACACAAGCGTCTGAAAGTCGATGACACTCACCCTGAATGGAGCCAAAGTAGAGTCCTGACCTCAGGAACAGCAGCAGCTCCCAGCAGTGGCAAAAAGTTGCATATGCAGAGTGGAGATAACTAACACTGATAATGTTACAATGCTGAGAAACAGCTGTTAGGTATACAGACCCAAAGACACCTCCAGCAACTTCAGGTGCTTGAAAAAGTACGAGTAGGTGCAGAGCAAAAACCTCAAAGTCAGTTTGATGGATCTACATAACATCGTGTTTGGCCATCGCCTCTCAGATATTCAGCACATCTGTTCTTGCAGTTTCCTGAGCAGAAACATGAGCGAAGCAGCAGAGGGGCTGTACCTGCTGCTGGGAGCGTCTGCACAGGGATCAATGGATAGCAAAGTGAACAAACCAGGGGTTGACAAATGGATTACTTTTACCTACTTGTTGTCAACCATGTAGGTGTAATTTTTATCTGTTTTTACGGCTTTAAGGCTTTTTTATTTAATTAGAAATATTTCCCCTCACAGTTTTACATATTTAGGATGTGATTTTTATCAAACTGTCTCATATTTATAGCAAAAACTTTGGAAACTTGACTGCGGTGCCTGACTCATGAAAGTTACGGCTACTTTTACATCTTACTCCCACTGTTGATTTCATACATATGCATCTGTGTGTGGTCAGTTTTATTATGACTTGTCTTTTTTGTTTTGATTTGTTGTGTTTTTGCATCTGTACCTCCTTATGGTGTGACAAGGGTGTGGGTGGGATTCAGGTCCTTCATGTGTGGACGTCTTTGTTCCCACATACCTCTAACAGGTTTGTTTGGTTAAAATGTTAACCTTAACTTCTACTTGTGAAAACACATCCTTAACTTGATAGAATTTTATTGATTTATTTATCTGGATGGCCCAGGTCCCTCTTTTTTAGTTCATTCTAAGACGATCAATGGATTGACTTGGTCTTGGCAGAATAATCTGCTTTTTTAGCCTTCGAAAACTTCTCGTCTTCAGGTCATTGTCCGTATTGTGAGGTTGAATCTGACACCACATCATTACTGATCCCAAAATGTTGATCGTGTTCATCTGGACGTTGCATTTTCTCCCACTGGAAACGCTACATCCAGATGGACACAATCAACTTTTTGGGATTTCGTCACCTGGATGATTGCGCAAGCATCAAGACACATCCTTACACTCTGTAGCGTATCACACTGATTTCATCAAGTTTTAAAGTAAGAATATGATATTCGTCTAATCTGAGCACATATTGATCTTAGTTTAATCCAAATGCTATATTTTCTTTTGTGAAGTCCTGCTGGCCTTGATGGAGAGAGTTGTTCACTTGACTTTTTAAATGATGAAAGGATCATGTGATCATACACCTTGGTCACTGAGTTCATCTGTGTTTTATTTCGAAGGTTTAGTAGACATAGATTAAGGCTATTCTCAGACTAAAAGAAAAAAAAAAATCACTGAAAACCTCCACTGAAAAAAAGTTTATGGTCTAGGATTAGGCTTAATCCTGGGAAACTGAGTCATGAACCAGCAAACTGTTCCCGCTCAGTTCGGATGGATTTGCTTTGTCATAGCGGGTGAAATGCTAGAGCAGGAATCATGTCTGTACAGTTTTCCTGCCTACTTAATGGAACATGTACAAAGCAATAGCGTTTCCTTGGAATAACTTTTCACCAATTACATCTGAGCCCTTGAAAATAGGCAACTGTATAATCATGGATTATATGCATTAGGGGTGGGTTTTGATTATCGGTTTATCGATTAAAATCGATTCTGGCTTGGATAACGTGATATCGATTCATTAAAATCCTGAGTCGATTTTAAATATAAATTTATTTTGCCAGAAACGCCAGAATCTCAGGTTAAACCTCACAAAATTTCTACAACCACCAAACAGCTACAACAGTATATGAGAGCAGGTACATGTATTCTGCACAAAGACGTAAACACAAAGCTCGCACCCGCCGACGCATCTGTATCAGTGAGATGTCGCCTTTCTCACCCGACGGCACGGACACGCCGTCGGGGCTGAAAGCCGACAGCTCACTGATTTTAAAGCGTCAGTGGGCGCTTTGTGTTTATGTCCTTTTTGCGCTAGAATCTGAAGCTGCAGGTTTTATCCAAACAATATTGACAATATTGACTGAACCAGCAGCCGAAGACGATCCAAATTACGCTTCACATTTCGCTTCACATAAACATCGTCATGAATTCCCTCTGACTTTTGCTGTTTTGCTTCCACCACGATAAAATCACACTTCATGTAGAGCTCTCTCTCTCTCAGGAATAGTTTCCCATCTAAAAATCTCTGCTTTTTGTATTATTCGCTTACTTATTACCCACCAGACTACGGTGTCGGACTTTTTTTTTTACTTATTTCTGAAAAGAAAGCCTAATTTCTGCTGTTCAATACTGAACAAATTGAAACTTTTTAAAATTATGCAAAATTGCAAAATGCTTAGCTGTGTCTCTAATAACACCTCTGTAACTTTGCTCTGCTTCACTTCATTTTTGATCTATTGCACAATATTTTTAAGGTCATCTGCTATAAAAACCCAGACCAGGAAAACCGCCTTCATGTTTTTCTGTGTTTTATTCTCAGTTACTTCAACACAAAGGAATCGGGTGTGATGCTCACACCTTTGATAAAGACTCACAAGTGTCAGCTTTCTTTTTATAGATAAAAATATATAGATATGTACTGATAAGTGATCAGAATTATAATATTTCTGACTGAGGCAAAATTTCCCTTCCGTCCTTCCTTCCTTCCGTCCTGCCTTCCTTCCTTCGGTCCTTCCTTCCTTTCTTCCTTCCTTCCTTCAATCCGTCCGTCCGTCCTTCCTTCCTTCCGTCCGCTCTTCCTTCCGTCCGTCCTTCTTTCTTTCCGTCCTTCCTTCCTTCCTTCCTTCAATCCGTCCGTCCGTCCTTCCTTCCGTCCTTCCTTCCTTCCTTCCTTCCGTCCTTCCTTCCTTCCATCCGTCTGTCCTTCCTTCCGTCCGTCCTTCCTTCCTTCCTTCCGTCCATCCTTCCTTCCTTCCTTCCTTCCTTCCTTCCTTCCTTCCGTCCGTCCTTCCTTCCTTCTTTCCTTCCGTCTGTCCTTCCTTCCGTCCTTCCGTCCTTCCTTCCTTCCTTCCTTCCTTCCTTCCGTCCGTCCGTCCGTCCTTCCTTCCTTCCTTCCATCTGTCTGTCCTTCCTTCCTTCCTTCCTTCAATCCGTCCGTCCTTCCTTCCTTCC